ACGGTAGTGCAGTGTTTACTGTTCAGCGGAGCACGGGAAACCGAGAATGAAGGAGGCATTTTTTTAAATGAGCGGTGCGGGTAACTGAAATTATGCACCAGCAATGACGGTTTCAAGTATGTGAAAATCTATTCCGAGTCCATAAGTTGCCCTTTTCCATCTCCTACATTCGAAAGAATACATTATTTATGTATAAGAAGTCGACGTCAGTAAACTTTACAACGTTTAACTAACCGAGAAACAGCTAATGTTAAAATTAAATGATTTTATTCTACGAATTTGGTGGAGTTTCTGCATCATGGAGGCAAATTTTTCTCCTTAGTTTCGTGTCGTAATACCCGTGTTGTAAGTAACTATGTGTTCCGTAGACGATTGAGTAATAACATGGAGTAAGTTGCTGTTACGAATTTTGCAAAATTTCTCATACCGAGAGCAAATTTTTCACCTTAATTTTGTGTCACGATGCTCGTGTTCAATAGTGATGATTTGTTTGATCGATGATTGAGAAATAACGTAGAGAAAGGTATCGGACGAGCCTTCCCTCGTTTTGCACACGGAATTAAGTTTTCTCTCTTTTTCAACGCAAAACACTGTGCTGTCGTGTCAGTAAATAAAGCGAGGTAACACAACGTGAATGTTACCTGTCTTTACAACAATTAACTTTAATCAGTCAAAGGTATCGGAGACGATAAGGTTTTTTTTTTTTTTTTTTTTTTTTAAACTACTCTCAAAATTCGTCGTGTTTTCGGTTTATTTCTCTGTCTTTCCACTATTCCAATTCCCCAACCCGAAAACTGTTAAAAATGTGGGTGCAGTATGGAAATGGTAAGGATTTTTGAGCATCGCCAAAATAAAGGCATTTTTCCAAAGCAAGGAGGAAGCAAGGAATTTTAATGAGAGGGTACATGAAATGAATTTTTAGCAGTACACCTATTACTGCTAATAATTTTAGTTATCATACCATTAAATTGTCATACACGCGTGCACCAATCTTCTATCTCTTGAAAGTTATTTTCTTCCTTCACCCTGTGATAACGCTTCAAATGTGATTCAACAGTTTTTTCTCGGCTCTTTGAAGATGAAAGAATGAAAATTGTGGACCGATTAGCATACTGAAACGCTAAGACCAAGTTTGATAGCGTTTCTATCCAGAACAGCTCTGCATTATCTCCAACCGCAGGGAATTAAGATGTGGTTTGGGTTAAGATGAATACATTAACTCGACCTTTCAAAGTTAAACCTGTTGGATTCTCCAGTTTTCATCACAATATGCATAATTAAACAATTTAAACGGCGGATATGCAGCCTTTCATCACACAAATAATACCGGAACGTTTCGGCTGAAAACTCAGCCTTCTTCACCGAGTTATAAGACAACAAGCAAAATTTATAAATATAAAATCTTACCTCTTGGCTCTACTTTTCTAAAACAGGAGAATGTCGTTCAAAAGGTTCTCGTTTCGAAAGTTACAGCCAAGTAATAAGAATGTAGATTTTTAAATGCTTTTATCGTGCTCTATCCAACTGAGGAAGGCTAAGTTGTCAGCCGAAACGTTTTGGTTTTATATTTGTGATTAAAAGCCTTGTTACCCGCCGTTTGGATTGTTTATTTTTGTATACCTTGACACGGTCTGCGGATCATCAAGCATATCACAATACACCCGCTTTGTAACGCATACCGAGAATGAAATTTTCTCTTGCGCAATGTGGGTTATGTGCTGCGCACACTTCATTTCCCATAGATAGATCACGATTTACTCGGGACCTGTTAAAAGTTCAACCCAAGAGCGATGTCATTCGTGTTAAAAGAATGTCTGAGTGGGTTGAGGTTGAACTTAAAAATCTGGATGTACTGCCACGTCTACGTTAGGTTGTTGATAACGATAATTATTCCACCTACCTCCTAATTTACTAGGAAAAACTGTCGTTGAAATGAATCCACATGGATTTAACTCAAAACTCCCAATTGTGTGGACAAGAACACGTTTTAAGTCAAAATGATATGTCAATTTTTTTTTTTTTTTTTTTTCAGTGGTATTCATTCAACTTGTTGCTCCTCTTCGAGCTTTCAATTGTCACTGGCTGACTTGTAGTGAATTGGCTGAAAGTAGGTCTTGATTTTGTATGAAAGTGATATTTCAGCAGTTATTGACAACTGATTTTTGTAAATGTTACTTCCAAGTAACATAGTTGTTTCCTTGTAAACAACCTCTGATGAAATAATACGCTTCACTGAAACATACATATTGTAAAGGATTAACTGTCGGTATCGACTTCCCCCTCCGTAATTTGAAATTACGTCCTCGGGGTCGATGTCTCATGCACACCCTGTATTTAGTCCGTAAGTTCCGTATGAATATGCAAAGCGCTTCCTCCACCCACAGGCTGCGCCGCACAATAGATCGAGTCAATTGGAGAAGTCGGACAAAATTTGGAAACTTTAAACGCTTATAACACCGTTTATACAAACTTTAGGGTTTCAAAATTGGTTCCATTGGTTTTCTAGTGCAATTTTCCTCTAGATGCATCCCTCAAAATTGTAAACGTGACGATTTAGACATCAAAATTTGCAGTTTAACTTAAAAATGTCATGCCCGACCTCTACATTTGACTCGATCCACTGTGCGCCGCGATGCAGCGCAACGTCACACCGCTTTCTTACCCTGTACGCGCTAAAACGATTTTCCTATCCGAAATACAGTGCACGTATGTTGTTTCTAATATGCAGCTCGCTCCAACTCGTCTTTGTCGTTGAGGGAAACCAATCCACCCGTCTAAGAACCAGCTGTTTGCTATGCATTTTGCATAATTTCCGCGCCCAAGGCGCGATCTCCATCAGCTTCGTTCGCGCTTGGCAAACGTCGAGTTCTCACACACACCCAAGTGGACTGCAGTGTGCGTAACACCCCTTCTGGCATCGTTCGTGATCAAAGGCCCTCCAACGAATTGAATGGAACTGCATGCATGCAGAAGGCCCTCATATTGTTCAGAACAATGGACGGAATGTTCACGTAATAGTTTCGTATATTAAATTATAAAGAAATTGGAGGGTTACATTACATTATTATGGAATTTTAGGGTTCGGTTAAAATAGCACTGCATTTGTAGAGCCAGAAGTGCATTCCAAATTCGAATATTTAACATCTACATACCTTTTTTGTGGGCACTGGAAAAAAAAACACATTGGATCTAGAGTCCAGACTCTTGAATCAAGCAGGTTTAAGCTTAAATCAAAAGGAAATCCGCTCAAATAAAGAGGCTTGGTTCTTGATTTAAGCTTAAATCTGATTGAATCACGAGTATTTTTTCTTGTCGATGTTTTTAAGAGTCTGGATTCTAGATCTAATGTGTTTTTTTTTCCAGTGCTTATGATAGAAAGATACCATACCTTAAAATGAACCTAGTCTTCTCCATCTGTGATAGTGCTGCTGAAGGCAGCATTGAAGAACTGAGCATCGTCAATCGCATGCCAAGCGATCGGATTATCTTAATTTCTATCAATTATGGCCGACGAGGCTTTTTAATGGAATCTTGAGACATTCCGAGCGATCTAACCCTTAAGACAAAACTGCAGAGGCAAAACTTTCAGGATCCATGCGGCTATTTGTAGTGCGTTATATCCACAGCTGTCGCAGAGAGTTATTTTCACGAAAATGACGGCAACGCCGCCATTATTCCGTTCGTAACTTTCTAACTTTAGTACATCTAATTCTTACTTGAGACGGGGAGGGCGTATAGATGCGGCTACGAATGTGTTGGCCCAATTGCAATAGCAAATTGTCCAAACGATCTGAAACTATTTTGAAAATAGTTATACTTCAGTCCCACGCTTCTGAACGCTTCTCCTTTCTATTCCTCTGTACTACCACCTTCTTAATTTGATAGCACAGACAGCGCAATTTCAAATTAGACGATTAACCAAGTTGGTAAAGTCTCGGTTAATCCCGAAAGAATCCTTAGAAATAAAATTAAAGCAGCTCGTTCAAAAATTATATTTTATTCGAAGCCCTTTTGATTGGAAATGCACAGCAGCCGGACTAAAATACCGTCACAAGTGTAATAGATATAATTCATACTATGTTCGCTTAATAATGTTATATTTATACATTATCAAATCCGAGATATTTAAGAATACAAAATCATTAGATTAATTAGACGCATGCATTAGATTTAAAATTTAAACAATGGCACAGAGACCAAAGTAAATTCTGAGCTACACTGCAAGCGCCACAAAATACATCAAGAACACGAATGGTCGGTACACATAATGAAATGTTTTGGATAACCACTCAAGTCGTGCGTGAATTTTTCGGCTACAACGTTTATCGTGTAAATTTGCGCTAAATGGTGTGTGAAGATTATATTTAATTATATTTACATGATTCTGGACGCCGAGTGCCCGTTTACAGCCCAATTCTTTTAGATGAAAATTGCTTTTATTGAACCTGCGAATCGAATCCTGTCATAATTTCAATTTAGTTTTATCGCGTAAAAGGAGCGAAAATTAATTTGTTTCCTTCCCAGTGCCAAGTATCATTATAATAGGTAGATACCACTTTTTTCTCGTAAAAATATAAATTATTGACCGTTGTTAAAACAACAAAAAAGCCGTAACGATCAAAAATTTCCTCGAACATTTCAGCCGAGAGGGAACAAGGAGCTCGTGGCAACACAGATAGCCCGAGCGGTGTAGGTTTTTAGTCTGCCTATTTTGGAGGCAGTGTTTTTTTCCAGATCACAATGACTTTATTTTAATGCAAAGGAAACTCTATCAAACTGGGATGCAGCTTACAGAAAAATTTACTAATTTCATTAATCTTAGTGTGCGAGGTCCTTAAACTTAGTGTCTGAGGATTTTATGTTACAATGACGTTTTCTCTGTAGTAACCTTATGGACTTTCTGGACACCAAAGAGAATACAAAATCAGGAATTTGATTTGCGGGGTCGAGTGGCACACCCTAACCTTACGAGTCGTCGCTGATTGGCTGATCCGCCTGGTGCCCACTTTTTGGTGCCCTTACAGGAAATAACACGGGGTTAATTTTTCGTCGAAAATACCTCGAGTTAGGAAAGATTTATGCGTCGGAGGTTACAGAAACTGATTCTCCATGTTTTTAAGAGGAGATTCTTGGGTAGTTCATAGCGTGTAATTCTCTAACACACCAAACAGTTCGACCTGGGAATGGATTTTTTTTTTCGATTTGGAATGGGAAACTTGGTCTTGTAATCCAACAAAATTTCCGGTCGAACTGTTTGGTGTGTTTGAGCAGAAAGTGTCATTTATTGCCCGTGAATCTCTTCAGAAAATTATTGAGCATTGATTTCTATTATTTCCGACGTATTAATCGTTCCTTTTTTCAAGATATTCTCGATGAAAAATGTATCCCGTATTGTATACCATCAGGACCCTGGAAAGTGGCCACCAAGCGGATCGGCCATTCAGAGAGGACTCGTGAAAGGAGAATGTGCCACGTGACCCATAATCAAACTGCTGCTCTGGATTTCCCTTTGTTCTTGATTCACCGAAGGTTAAAGAGGCAGATACATTTGCGAGCTAGACGCGCGTTTTAAGCGGCGAGTAGTCCTTCAGCCGTGTTCGGCAATCTTCGTAGCCAAGTAGCAACTCGCTTATGGCCTGCTTTCACGCTCAAATTTCTGTCAAATTCCGATCAAAATGATGACCAAGATGGCGGTCGAGAGTTATCTAGATTGATGAGTAATATTAATGAAAACAGCGTGTTGATTGAAATAAGCACGGTTGTGTGGAAATCGGCTATGTCTTATCGCTGCTTTATCGTGCCTTTGTCAGGTGGAATAGACGGCATAATGTCGGAAACTTCAGAGGTGCCTTTAACTTGTCGAGAGTTCCACCCGACATAGGCACGATAATGCAGCGATAAGACATAGCCGACCAATCACGCTCCGCCTTTTAACACATGTATGTCACCTATGTCTACCGGATAAACAAAAAATTTCAACAATCAGGCACAGGTGTATCCGGCCCTCAGTAATCATCGTCGCCAGCGTCGGTGTTATCGTCGGGGTTGACGGCGTTGCTAGCGTTGACGGGGGGGTCGATGTTGTTGGAGGCCTGTAGCCGGAGCCTCTTGCAGTAGCTGTCGAGGAGGACGAGGAAGAAGGAGTTGGGGTAGCGGGCCCGGCGGACGAGCACGTAGCAGGCGCCCATGCCGGTGGCGTCGTTGCGGATGCACTGCCCGTGGTAGATGTCGAGGCAGTTGAGCTTGGCCTTGCTCACGGCCGCCCACATCCGGTCGGCGGCCTTGCGGCAGTCCAGCCGCCGCTGTCGGTTCTTCTTGGAGTAGAGGTTGTCGCGGTACTTGACGCACGGGTCGTCGTTCATGATGTACTCGTGGTTCGGGCCCCGGATGTCCTTGGCGTTGACGCCCAAAGGGACGATGCACGTCGGCGCCGCCTGGAACGGCAGGTACCGCTGGTGGAACCCCTGCAAAACGGAAACAACGGGTCAGGTCAGCCGGCTTGTTAAGTTAGTGCTGTACATTCTGTTGTAAATGCGCGGAAATGTGAAGGAAATGACAAACCGGCGACGCTAATTCACTGGTTTGAGAAGAGTGTGTAAATCAAGGGGTTAAGGTGAATCCAGGGTTCGATTAGGGATAATTCACGATTAGAGATAGCGCCACCACTCATCAGTCACCGCTAAGAATATCACTTTCCCTCAACGATTACTGAAATAATATTGTTCAAATCACATGAAGCAGATCCACAAGATGTAGATTATGTTTTGCTTGATTTTTTCAGCCGAAAATATTAGCAATTAGAATTACAAGCGCAGCGAAAGCACGGCTGAAACTTTAAGCTCAGCGGCGGCGGCCGAGCACGCAACCGACTCCCTTATGTCCTGTCTCTCTCTCTCCCATTGCCGCAATGGGAATTACTTTCCGCCGTAGTTACGACTTTATTTTTGGGGATTTTGAGAAGATTTTTTAACTGCGTGTCCCTCAAGTATGTTAGTGTATCCCCTGGATACCCAATCTTGAATAAGTATTACGGTTTTTATTATTTTGGCAAATATATACGGCCATTCTGAGCAGCGCGACGGGGCCAATCGCGAAGTTCTAAGCCTGGATTCACCATAACATCCAGGAAAAAAAAAAAACGTGAAGCCTGGTGAAGGGATCTATTAACCTTCAGGTATTGGTTTTTGTTTATCTTAAACAGAAGATCGTTGTGCTAAACCTTGTACAGGCAGTATTCCGTCAAAATATACTTCAAAAACGTCAAAATTTTTTTTTATTGCAGCCTTATGTTGCTAAAATCCTCAGTTGCATCGAAAAACGGCAAAATAACCCTTTTTCGCGGGGAGTTTTCTAACGTCTCCACTCGTCGGTTTCCCAGTAGCTTGCTTTGCGATGTATCGATTGATCTACCATTGAAACCCATGGATAAGGACCGATACACAGTGTGTCCGCAACGAATACCTTAACAATCGATTCTTTACCATCGCTTCAAAAGGGAAAATATTGATAATCGATCATTCACGGCTCGCCACTGCTCACTCCGATATCACTAATCTTGTGTTATTATAGGTAAGGCACCGAACATAAACATGCATGTCGTAATAAGGTATTTCAACGTTGAAAGACGGAATGGTTCCTGTTCCTTGCATTAATGGCGGAGCCTTCCGCGTTGCCCCCGGTGGCTTATTTTACTCGCGTGCCGAAGAAATTGCATTTTGCGTGCACGCCGGAAGAGTTCCCGACCGCACGCTAACCCCTTTTTTGCAGCAATATTGCCACCGTTGTTCTTTTAGTGTCCCATACCGTTGCGCGTTCTACGGCCGTCGGCACGTAAAAATGGAGCTTGTTATTCAAGTGCGTTTTAATTGGAAACTCGGGACGCAATTTACATGATTTCTTGTGCCAGGATAACTTGGTACCACTACATGGAGGGTGTGGTTTTCTGGCCACTGGAAAAAAAAAAAAAACACATTGGATCTTGAGTCAAGACTCTTAAAAACATCGACATGAAAGAGTACTCTTGATTCAATCAGATTTAAGCTTAAATCAAGAACCAAGCCTCTTAATTGAGCGGATTTCCTTCTGATTTAAGCTTAAATCTGATAGAATCAAGAGTATTTTTTCTTGTCAATGTTTTCAAGAGTCTGGACTCTAGATCTAATGTGTGTTTTTTTCCAGTGCGTATTGAGAAAGAACGTCCTAAGAGCCTTCGCGTGTTGCCAATTTCCCTCAATTCATCACGAATGTCAAGGAAAATTGGTGAATATTTTTCAAAAATAAATATTATGTAAGAAGAAAGGCGTGTGCTTATAATTATCCCTTAACACGGCAGTATTGGTCTTGGCTATTCATTCTAGGGAAAACTAATGGCAAGGACGTTTTTCTTGTGATATTTAGACTGCATTTTGCAATTTGGAACTATAAATTCTGGCTCTTCTGGAAAAACTCGGATATGCGTAGGGGAACTAATGTCACATACGGTGTTTTTAAACTGGGCTAGAATTTGTAGTTTCAAATTGCAAAATGTAGTCCATTTTAAAGTGGGAGTGCAATGTACTTTTTGAGTAAAGCGGGACTCATGTAACCTGTTATTAATAAGAAATTACATTACAGAATTCTCATGAATATAACTGAAAAAACTGTGAAACAACCCTATTTTTACCGACAGTTAATTCTAAAGCAGTCCCGCCCGTGATGCAGATGACCGATTATGTACTTCGAATTAAAGTCTTTAAAAATGTTTTAAACTGCATAGCAAATGCACTTGAGAGACATCAAACTTAGTTCGTATATTGAATTACTTGCCGAAGAATCTAAATTTCAAAGGGTCTGAAGCCTGGAATAAAAATACGCCTATTTCACGATATTCTATAATGATTGTCGTTCAACGCCAAAGTGAGTTCACTTTAAGCTGGCTGTCTGCTCAATCTTCGCTTCGTTCAATAGCATTCAATTTCAATATAAATGAAGGACATACCCTGTTCCTATTGAAGCAGTTTCAAAAAGTAATGAACAAAATTAAATATTTAAAACATACAATGAAGGAAGGAGAAGTGTTGGAATGGAACATATACCAAAAACAAAATGTAAAACCCGATCATCCACTTAAACAGGAAGTAAAACTAGGAAAGTTTGTACGGAGAATAATCAAGTTACCGTAGGATAAGTCCCTATTTTCAAAGTGCAATTCTTACCAATCGCGTATTTCTAATTCTCCGCGTTTATTTCTTTGCGTATTTTCATTGTCAAAATACTCACTCATTTGAAAAATACAATCCTGGCCGTAAATGACTTTAACTATGAGGTAACAACTGCAAAATAGTCGAAGGAAAACCGTCAAGGCCCGCGTTCTTGGAGGCTACTTCAATTGAAATCATCCGTTGCTTTGGTAAGGCGCAATGCTACAACTATTCGAACTCTCCGGAATGCGTGAGGTATCACGCCGCAATTGAAGGCGTTTTCAAATTCGCCAAATTTCGAAACTGGGCACTGGGGTTTTCGATTTCATGAAGTTCGGAGGACGAGATCAATGCAAGGACTGATCTTATGATCTCAAAGGATAAGGCACTTGGGAAGAGAGCAACTTTAACGCAGAAATACGATTTATACTCCGCGACCAACGAGCTGAACACGACCTTTCTCCTCGACCTTAGACGGGCGAAACAGTTCCGTTTGAAGCAGTTTCCAAACGTAATAAATACAATTTTTTATTTAAGGAAGAAGGTAGAAGAAGTTTCTTTTTATGAGGTACTACATCGTCGGATGGTGGTGATGACATTAATGTTGACATTATTGAAGGTCCTGAAGTGGATGCCAATGGTCCAACTCCTGAGCGTTTATCGTGAAGCCTGAAAGATCATCTCACGGTATAGCGTTGCGGATTGTGAATTAGGCTTTGGAATATACACGATTTTGCGATGAATGGATATCTGTTCGGCGAATTCGGCTACGTTGTATCCAAGATCATTGGGACTGCATTTTGCAATTGGGACTTATAAATTCTAGCTCATCTGAAAAAACACTTATGTGCATAGGGAAACTAATGGCACATACGTTGTTTTAAAATGGGCCTGTTGCAAACTTTTGCTAGAGCAGAATGAAGAGTTGTTTCCTATAGATAATGCCTCAAAAATCACGATGAGCGCATCGGCAAAGTCTGAAATGCATTCATAAATTCACAATCTGCGTAAGAAATTTGCGTCATTTTGAGCTTCCCGCTTCAAAAACGATACTACTGCACAGGTGAACATTATGTTAGAGGAGTCGCTCCATCGTCGGCAATATTCATCATGGCCGACGCTTGCGCAGTTCCTCGCGTAATTCGAGGAGATTTCAAGGTCAATTAAGGCGGGCGAGGAAAATATGAACGTAAACACGCCGATTGTTATATGGTTTAATCCTGTACAGGTGTTATCTCGTCCCATCACACGTGTTTTGGCGGTTTGGCGTCGGCCATGATGATTATTGCCGACGATGGAACGACTCCTCTTACAAAATGTTCACCTGTACCGTAGTATCGTTTTCGAAGCGGGAAGCTCAAAAAACCGCAAATTTCTTACGCAGATTGCTAAGTTATGAGTGCATTTCAGACTTTGCCGATGCGCTCATCGTGATTTTTGAGGCATTATCTGCAGGAAACAACTCTTAGTTTTGCTCTAGCAAAAGTTTGCAACAGGCCCATTGGGCCGGAATTTACAGGTCCAAATTGCAAAATGTAGTCCATTTATTTGTGAGAGTGTCTTTTCTGAGACATCTTCACGGATGATAAGTAGGGCGCTGGTCTGGTTCCTAGCGCTACGTGACTGCGTTGTGGACATATATAACTGCCGCTGTACAGCGGTTACAAGACGGGGTTTCTTCTCATCGTCTATTTCGTCTATATCTGAAAACGCACGTTTTCTGCCGCGCTTGACCGATCTGTGATAATCTGGTCGGTAAAACACGAGTTCCTTGTCAGGATCAATATCCGTTATCTGATATGCAACGTCATTTGCGTAGGTGGAGTTCATTCGTTTTTCTTTTAAAGAAACATCGACAGGCGGCAATTCTATCACTTCATCCGGTTTTTCAACTTCAATCTCCATTTCATCAGCGTCTCTTCTACGCATTTGATATAACCGTATGGGGGACTTAACTGTCACAGGTTTAGCAATCGAGACAAACGAAAACAAATCGTTCTCTGCCAAACGAAATTATGTGCATTAAGACATGAGCCGCGAGACCCATAAGAATACATGCTCAACAGGGCTCACGTCATGATGCACATTGTTCCGTTCGGAAGAAATACGTCCGAAGAAACATCACCTAATGCCGCGCCGGAGCTCGTGTCCTTGAGGCGCGCGTCCAGGTAAAAAACGCCTTCAAATTAACTTGATACCGTATGCTTACTCCAAAGGCCGAATAGTTGCTTGTCGGATTTTTGCTCCTATCGCTTGAATCCTCCCACCGTGTTAGAAATTATTGA